GAAGCAGCAGCAGATTGATTCGGTGATGGCATTCCCAATTGATTGAGAACTTTGTTCACAATTTCTAAGCACAAATCTTCAATCATTATCAACGCTTCGTTGCAGATTTCTGCTGTGAAATCCATGTTCATATTGGAATTTTCCTTGCGTATTCGACGGAAAATATCTTCAGCTGTGTGCGATTTATATTTCTCCCATAACTCTGTTGGAGATGAAGGAGAGCAGGCGGTCAATATGATTGGAAACAATGCATGAATTTGATGTGGATGTAACGTGTTGCATGCGTCAGTAATGCATGTAACATATTTGGGTATGTCACGCTACAGATAACTTTACGCCATATTAATTATAGCGAATCTTTATTGTAATTCACTTGCACACTTTACAATTATCGCCACTTGCAGTATTAGAGTTACTGGTTACACAGTCTCTCGGCCAGTACTTCTGTATATCTTGGCGTCTAGGTTCCAACCTTCTTCAGCGGCAGCTATTCCAAGACTGACTGGGCGAATGAATTCAACCTCCTTTTATACCCTCGGCCGCTCCTATGCAAATGAGCCTTTGTCATAACTGCGGAAACGCTGCTTTGTTGATTCCGCGATTCCTGCGCAACAACCCATTGTTATTGCATTGTCTCTGTGGGAACGCTCTGAGTATTCATCGTAACCGTGGAGATCCGATACAGTATCGCTATTGTTACTTCCTATGCAACGGTCTGTTCTAGCGTTTCCACAGGGGTGACTCTTCTGAATTCCAAATTCCAATTCTGTTTTTCAAAAGAAGCATGTTTTTACCTGTCACAGGTGTGACATTATATAATAGGTATATAAAAACGCGCGCATTCGAATGCAACGTTGTGTCAAAATTTCGAAGCAATCGGTGAAGAACTTCCAGAGATTTAGGATCCTGAACAAATGAACATTTACATTTTTATTTATATAGATATAATGCACACCATTTGGCACTTGTTTATAAGAAAATGTTTGCTAATACTCTGAGGCTTTAATTTAGCCTCAACGACAAAACATACAGTATACTGGTAGCTGTATGTGTTAGACTTTAAGGAAGTTTGCCGGTACACATCAGTTTGCCAGTTCATGTACCAACTGAGAAAAAAAGCACTGCTTCCATTTCCTTCTTAAGTCCTTATATTTTCCTTAGCACCATGTTCTTGAATTGTTTGTTCATGACCTTGTAATGTAATACAGTTGATAAATGATTGTTTCATAGTATAACATTTGGTGTTTTGGAAAGATGGAACAGTAACAATATAAAATGCACCCAGTTTATAATTTGTGGTGAGAATTCATCTCCATCATAGTTAAAATAAGTGAAAAATTCATAAGATAGAATTTTGGTGTTCACAAGTAACTAAATGTTTCAGTCTGGTGTAGGTGGCATTGGTAGTCCCTGGTGGAAGATAACGAGATATTTCATTAGAACAGACTCTGTGATGGCACACTTATTTTTGGTGCTTCTGGCAAGACAGCGACAGTACCAGCAGGAAGATCTTGTTTTACAGATGCCTAACTATTTACATACAGGTATAGTTTTCTTTTTCACATGGAGGAATGTATTTTCTACAGAAAAACCCCATGCATTGCTGATGACTATTGGAATTCTGAATACATTCCTGCTATCACAGAACACTGCATTACTTACCACCTGTACAGAGCCAACTTAACCTTGTCTCTCTGATATCAAACACCTTCCCTTCATGAACATGCTGTAATGTTCAGGATCTTCTGAGTTACAACATCTTATAGTCTGGTAGGTGGGTACTAATATTTTGGAGGAACATACTGTGTCGGTTCTCAGTGTAGGAGTTCTGTCCTGAAGATAGAGACAGTGTGTTCCTCTGAAACATTCATACTTATCTACAAGACTACACAACATCATAACTTAGCAGACTACATTATGGACATATTGGTTATTTTTCATATGACCACTAGTGCATAAAAATTCAGTGCATGACAACTTCGACTAAAAAGGTGCTTGTGATGTTTAAATGATCACTGTATAAGGTGTGACAGTATAAGGTTTCTTTTGGGAGCAGGGGATTTGAACACTTAAACTGAGGATACTCTTAAATGAAAGTCATTTAAAGCTGAGAGTATTGGCTTGGATCATTTGCATTGCATGTCCAGTGATGGAAAACCTTAAATCAAGGAACACTAAATTGTGGTTTCATTGTAATTGATGATCATTTAAACATCACCATTTCTCGATCATCACTGATTTTTGGTTGAAACACTTCAGCATTAAATTTGTGTGCATTGATCATTGTGTGAGTATCTTCCTCTGTAGTTTGTTTATGTGCTGTATTGTTAGTCCACCAGTTGAACTCCTTGGAATGCTAGATGAAATGGAAAACTCATGGATATCATGTAATTAAAATAAGGATTGTCTGTATCCTGTTTATCTCCCAAGGTTACCATTCTTTCACATACTGCATTTGACTATTTGTGGCAATTGGTACAACATCACTGCATGATCTAAGTCATATTTATTTTGCCCTTTATCAGATATCTTCACCATAATTTAAATTGTAGCCAGTAGACTGCTGAATCTGCTCTTGTAATCAAATTCCTAAATTTATTTAAAAAGGAAGAGAAAAAGACATATGTGCAAAATAGTAATAGTATATTTTTAAAGTTAAGAGAGATGTTCAAAATCATGGGGTGACTGCTACAGTAGATTAAGATGGAGCAAATTAATCTTATCCATCAGTCATTTGGATTGTAATGTGAGATGCATGCCAGTCCTAGATGCAGGGCTCTGCATTATGGCCAAGAGAGGACTAATATTAACATAAAACTGGAAAGGTATTCTCCAATTTGAGTACACATTTTTTCCAAATGGTATTCTTTGGAGTCCTCCAGCTCTGAATAGATTAAATTTTCCTTCATAGCAGATAAATCAGGTACAAGTATGTTCACAAAGTTTGTTGGTTGGTTAGATGGTTCCTGATGCCACATTTCTGACAAATAATTTATGGTTTTAACCTTAACTGGTTGGTATTCTTGTAACTTATAAATATGTTGAGACACCACTTGGGTGAGTAACATTATACAGCAGAGGTCAGTCAGGTGGGGTGTTTTAAAATTCTCACTCTTGTCTGCCAGAGGTCTCCACAGTTGTGTGACTGCAGCAGCATCTAGGAACACAGTAAGTGGCTTTATGGGCAACCAGAAATGGTGTATAGTTTTGCGTTCATTTATCTCTTATCATGAGTGAAAGGTTCTCTTACATGCCATAAGTATATGACATGGGACTCCTGGCTTTGCTTCCCTTCCAGAGGAAGTTGTGCTGTGGATTTTTATTGCCCTTGACAGTCCATTGATGGGTTTGAACCCATGAACCTTTGGTCCAGTGGCAATCATATTACCATTGAACCAATGAGGCAGGCTTGGCAACAAGAGTAAAAATATAAGGCAGTGTTCTCCAACCTTTTCTTACTTATGCTCTCTTGGGTGCATATATTTTTGTTCTCAGACACCCTCCATCTATGTTTTTCCCTTAATGTAAGTTCCACACCCATATAAAATGACATGTAAAATTGATATTTTTCTTATTTTAGTCTTTGTTTTTATAAAGAAAAGTGGAAATACTGAAGATCCTGAGCTTAATGGTTTGTGCAAATATAGTAATGGGAAAGTTTATTGTATATATTTTAGTTATGTATATGACAATAGAATGTTTCTCAACCTTACTGTGACTATTCCTCATTGTATAGCTGGGCCTTTTGTGCCTGATAAAAGTGCGAAGAATCGCCTGCAAGCGCTCTTCACTCTGCTTAAGAATGAGCCACTCACCAAGCGATGCCCACTCATCTGGAGAATGTACATGCAGTTCCTGTATGATCATGGAACTGAACTCACCAGAAGGACAGCATTTTACAGAGCTGTGGAGGAGTGTCCCTGGGTGAAAGTGAGTGTCATATTTGTTGTTATTATTTTTATAATCAGAATACATTAAGGCAACTAATTCAGACTAATTGGGAGTGAAGCCTAGTCCAAATTAGTGAAAGTCTGAATTATAGAATTACTACTGAAAATATATTAAGGGAAGCAATAAAATGGAATTTGAGTGTCTTTTTAGGCAATACAACTGATGATGGAGTACAAGTTTTGTTTCACTTCTTAAAATTTGAACTTTGCACGTGTTTCTTCCTTCTCATCTTCCTCGTCCTGTTTACTTGAACTGTTCTCTTCAGCTTGCTATGCAGTTTCTGCTTCGCTGAGATTTTGGTATCCAAAGTCCTCCTCATCCTTACTAAGCCAGTTGTGAACATCACTCAGGTCAGCTCCAAATGTTCTATGAAAATTTTCTTCTTCAGTGCCTTCAAGATCAAACTTTAGTTCTTAATTGCTAATGATTTTGTTCCATGCATTTTTGTTTTAATTTCATTCCAGCTGCTGGCCCAGTTTTAAATTGCACTTTTTGTGTCATATTCTTTTAGTCTCATCAGTGTTTGTAGGTTAGCTGTCTGCATATCTACTGTCTCATGGCAAATTTTCAGACCTGAAATGATTTGACTTTATATATCTTTTAAAATGGCCTTGATGTTAAAAATGAGGTGTATATATACGTCATATCTACTGTCATCTGTGCTAGCCCTGCATGTGGCAATTTATGAATCATGCCAGTGTGGTCGGCAAGGTCGTAATGCACTGAGAAAAGTTATCTGAATTATTGTGAATTCTGAATTTTTGAGGTTTTTATTGTATTAGTAAGAAAAATTCATCATGATCTGTGTATGGGATATGAGGGCAGATATGAAAATTATTGTCTGGGATGTGACACTCTATAGTCTGATAGGTATTAACCTACTTGAAGATAGAGACAGCAATGTGTACCACACTACATGGGTTATCTCAGAAGACCATAATCTTAATTCTGCATTCTGTGTCGTCTGACAGTAAAGTTTGCCAACTCATCGCAGTAAAAGTTCTACATACGTTATTGGCGAATATCACTATGGTCACCTTCAAAGTACTCCTCTTGGGAAGCTACACACAAATGCCAGCGTCTAATCCTTTCAAAACAATTTTAGATCTGGTTTTGTGGAATGGCCTTCAGAGCTGCTGTCATGTTACTCCTGATGTCATCAATGTCATCAAAGTGCCTTCCTTTCAATATTTCCTCTATCTTTGGGAACAGGAAAAAGTCATTGGGTGCTAGATCCGATGAATAAGGAGGGTGTTGCAGCACAGTTGTTTGTTTACTAACTAAAGAGTCCCTCACGGACAATGCCATGTGAGCAGATGCATTGTCGTGATGCAGGATCCATTAGTTGTTGGCAAAAAGTTTGGGTCGTTCTTGTCTAACTTTTTCACACAGCCTTTTCAGTACTTCCAAATAGTAAACTAGGTTAACTGTTTGTCCAGTTTGTCCACAAATTTGTGAAGAGTAATATGTTTAGCATCAAAAATGCAGTCAACATTGTTTTCACCCACAATTTTTGCATTCTCACTTGCTTCTGTGTGCCTTTCATGCCATCCAAACACACTTGTTCTTGATAAACATTCTTCACCATACACACTTTTCAACATTCAAACGTTCAGTAGCTGTTTTCTCTAATTGTACACAAAACTTAATTGTTACTTTTTGTTCCATTTTGAAACATGACATGACAAATAAAACTAACTTCACTAAAACAATTTTAATCCTCATATGCATCAACCAAACAAGTTGAAACTTGCACATCATATAAATAAATTTTCTCTCTAACCATTCCTTTTCATCCCCGGTAGATGGAATTAGTATTATTACTAGGGCCCGGATTTCTATGACATGTCATATTTTTTTCCTAGCGTTTATTCCTATTTTTAAATGTAATTATGCATGTTTCCAGTCATTCTTATTGAAATTATGTCGTTTTTATTGTGCATATAAATGCATATTTTAGAGTTCTATTGGTTTTACAGCATATTTTGGCATAATTTTGAAATAAGGTCATATTTTTGTCATTTTAGAAACAATTCTTTGATATAATGTAAAATTTCAGCTCCACAATGTTTAGTATTACAAAATAAATTTCAGGCTGGACTGTTGCTTCAATGTGGAATAGAGTTCAAGTAAATGAAGTTCGTATTAAAAACCATATTTTTGACTGGACTGTACTTGCAGTTACAAAGGCGAAAATGTGTGAAATGCAGCATTTATGACCTGGCAAGCCGGCCTTTCCCAGTCGAGGCAGGAGGGAGGCAAGTGTAACGGGTATTCTCCTCTCTGTCTTACTATAAGGTATATACATCCCATTCTTTCTTGGAGGGCTAAGAAGTATTCTATAATATATGTGGAGGGCGTTATAAGACTTCAG